CCTTGTACTATATTCATCTATAAATAAAGAACTGGTCGACTGGCTAGTACAGTTCGACATTCTCTTCTTTTCTGTGGTTCTCTTCTCTTCCTTGCTACTTCGAGTATAGCTCTTCAGATTACAATTATCATCTGCCTTTTTCCTTCTGCAAATCTCTCCACCAAGCTTACAAACCATCCTTTATCATTCCTCCTCCTCTTTGCAGTGTAGTCTTTACATGCAGTTTTCAAATGACTCTTCCAATTCGATAACCAACTCACTTGCTTAGCTCCATCCAAGAAGCTTTGAAACCATGGAACAACTTCACCAACCAAAAACACCATTCCTTTTCTTCCTTCTCTTACCTTCACTATAACTTCTTTTTGGTGGAATATTTCTTCTAGTAGCAATTCCTTTTCTTCTTCCTGTTCCTTGCCTGTGAGAACTCTAAATCCTCCAAGTCCTCCATTCCTTCCAGTTCCTTTATCAACTGCCTCCGTTTCATCTGCCCAATAGATTTGAGAAGGTTGAATGGCCTCCACCAGACTGGATAGATGCACAATTACCCTGTCTTGTGCTCCCATGGCCAATAGTACTACTTTCGCTGGTGCCAAGAGTTCTCCAGCTGATGTAGAATCACCGGATGGTGGCGTTGCTACCTTTGCTAGCGGTACCAGAGCGCTAGGCAATGGAGGGTTCGGGCTTTGAGGGACTGCATCTACAGGTTCCGAACCAGCAGGATTTGAGGGGAAAGGCTCTTCGAAGCCTATGTCTCCCATAGATTGGGGCTGCTCAGAGTTTTGATTACCTCGGTTGAGATAATTTGTCACATCCCCAACCTCTTTCTACAAAGGGTTAGGATGAGCCTGAGGCTGGCTTTCACAAAGTAGCCCTCGAATTGGTTGGCTCGGATCAAGCCTGGTCCATTTAGGATCACCTGGGTCTGCTTTCTTGGATGGGCCTGGTTGGGAAGTGATTTTATTTTTCCACTTTCGCCCTCACTTTCTATGCCTTTGAGGACGCACATGTGGCAATTCATTACCACACCTTGAATCAGCGACTTCAACTTATAAAAATCATCAATTTGGTGCCCAAGTGTTGATAGGTTTTGAAATTTAAAATCTTCATTCAACATGTACCCGAAGTGGTTTTTACTTGAGATGAATTCAAAGTGGGTCTGGTGGATTTTATTATTATGAGATAGCAAATAATTGGTGAGTTTTCCAGCAAGAGTGTGAGCTGCAATCCCTTGGCATGGCTAAAAGGAGCTTTAGTGGTGCTCTCATTAGGAAATCTAGGGCCTTTAGATGTAGAGAGCATTTAGAGACAGGACTGTGGAATCTTGGTCTTTGTGGGATTGATGAAGGGTATCTGAAATTCTTGTCTAGTGTAAGGTCTGAAAGTTGGTTATGCGTTGGGAATGGATTGATCTGAGGTTGAAGATGAAAGTGATCCTGAAGTAGTGAAGTAATAACTAGTTGGGTTCTTGCCCATCTGAAGAGCCTTGGTTTTTCAGCCCTCTCATTACAGAAGCAAGATCCTCAAAACCAGATTGAATAGCTTGATCAGGATGGTTCCAACGCCAATTAGTTCTCTTCCTGACACCTTAGCAAGATAAAGTGTAAGCAGTGGAGCTTTAAGTTGGGGTGCCCATTAGAAGAATTACATTGCATCAAGTCCAGAGCCTCAGGCCAGGCCCTTTCAGTTTTTTTTTTTTTTTTTTTTTGATAAGTAAAAGGAAAATTATATTTGCGAAAAGAGAAAACTTGATACAACTTCCAATGGTGCCAAGTTGGCACCACATACAAAAAACAGCTCACCCTCATGGCAACATCACAAAGAAAACAAATCAACTAAAACACCAGAAGAGGCAAGCCTACAGAATTCGAAATGAATTTGAAAGACTCTTCCTTCTTTCCAAACTCCTCAAGAGCTCTTTTAACAAAAGCCTCATCTCCCAAGAAAAACAAACCCGATGATTTTCCAACTTCAATCTCCCTATCAACAAGCTTCTTAATATCCATGCTTCCTTGCTTCACCTCCTTCCCCCTTTGACATGACCTCCCCCTCCATCTTCTCAATTTCCTATCTGACTCCCTTCGCCCCTTCACTTTTAATTGACTCCTCCCCAGAAAGGCTCATCAAAAGATCCAGTTTACTTACCACCACCTTCAAAATCTGACGTCTCTGCCAGTAAACCTGGTCTGTGCTTTGGATTTGATACCCCGTCTGTTGTACACACCTATTTAAATTTATTGGTTGGGCCTGGCCCAACAATATCATCCTTAAGATGTGAGAAAACCTTGGTAACATGCACAATGTGTGTCTTGTTCGAAGTTCTTGTCTTCTTTGTAGCCAATGCTGAAACAACTGACTTGCAACTCTCCATGTCCTTCCTCCTACGAACCAGGTTGACGCCCAGCTTGCCAACCAACACTTCAGTGGTTGAAGACTCCTCCCAATTTTCAGGCAACTCAGACTTGTCCAAAGCCAAGTTTGGCACAAACGAACTTTGGAGCACCACTGCAAGCCACTGTCTGCCCCCCACCACTCCCTTCTGCCTTATCTCCTGCTCTATCTCTCTTGTCTCTCTCTACCCCAACCCTGAAACAGTTGCCCCCCCCTCCAAACCTTGAGAGCATCCTCTACCTGACTCAACACCTCCATCCCTACATATCTCACCTGGCTGAGAATACCCAACACAACTCGCTACCATCAGGCCCTTTCAAATTTTAATGAATGCTCGGCTTGATCCTGCCCAAGTTGTACCTTAATAAGCAGGGGGACTTTTTATCTGCTTGGTCCTGGGGAATCATTTTGCAGTCTTTTTTCTTTTAATTTTTTGATCAGTATCTTTTCTGATTTGGTATGTTGATTTTTAGACTGTGATTCCCTCTTTTGTGGAGTCATTGGCTTCTTCTAGTATACTCATTGTATGGTTCACTTTTATCTTTTATATAATTTATTTTTCCATCACTAAGAATGTTTATACACCAAATGGTTTTACTTTTATGAAATTGAAAAAAAAAAGCTCAGCATAAGGTACTTTCTTTTATAAGGTAATTCTTTTAATACATGGTTGTTGATGATAGATATATTTCAAGAAGCTGGCCTCCCACTCTGGTTGCGTCCATATGAAGTCCTGGTTACTTCTTCTTACACAGCTCTTATCGAAACAATTCCAGATACGGTAATTTGTTAAATATCTGTAGTCACTTTTCAATAAAACATTTTAAACTATAATGAGATAGCAATTTACTGTTTTACAGGCCTCACTTCATTCTATCAAAAGTAGGTTTCCTAATATCACTAGCTTGCGTGATTTTTTTGTGGCCAAGTATGAAGAAAACTCTCCCAGTTTCAAGCTTGCTCAGGTGATCAATTGTTCAGAAGTAGCAGATGTGATTTGTTTCATGCTTGTTTCAGTTTTTCCCTTGTGCTAAAGTTATCTGATAATCCTACTGTTAGATATATGCTCAATTTCTTTCTGACATCTGTTTATAATGATCTAGATTTTATTGTACTGCATTGCTATATGTAACCCTGCATGCATTTTCACTTACGTATTGATTTCAAAACAAGAAGCCTGCTTAGTTTGTTGGTGCAAATTACCTTGTAGTAACCATTGTTTGGTGAATGTTATTACTATAGTTATTATATTAAGAAATACCAGAATTCTTAATGTAAAATTACAAGTTTGCAACCTTTCAGGGTAGGTATTTCATGTAAATATATGTACTTGCAACAGTTCAAGCAGGGTAGCCACTCATGTTGTAATAATTAAGAAAAAGAAAAAAAAAGGAAAAGAAGCTAAGACACGTAAAATGCCAAGAGCCGGATTCACAAAAGAAAGATGGTGTTGAAATAAATGTGCACCAAAATATATCACCTTCCTTGAGATAAACTGCCTTCTCAAGAGAATCTGCTGGTCCATTAACCAATTTTGGCAGGTTGAAATATCTATGTACAGGCTGAGATTTTCATGCATTTTATGCATTGTGAAGTTGTCTTTGCCACACATTTGTATACAGGTTTCACACCTTTTGTGGAAAAATAGAAAAGAACCTTAAGAGATGCTCAGTGTACAACTTCAAATATAAATAGAGACTCATCTTCTATAAGATGAGAGGTAGTCTGAATGAGGCAATCCTTCTCTAATGGTTAGTTGTTTGTATGGCTGGCATCATTGATTGGGCAGAGGCTCATATTTTAGGACAAGAGGAAAAGGTTGGAGTGACATTTGGTCCTTAAAGGTTAGATGTTTTGCATAGATGTGTTGCAGTTTTTGATGGGGTTTGTTGGTAACCAGGTCTTCTATTTTGATATTTGTGCTATGTTGTTTTCTATTTTGCAGTATCATGACCTCCTTTTTCCAGTTAGTGGGCAGATTAGATATGCATATGGGGGAAGCGGGGATGCGCGCACACACACACACATACTTGTGTGTGTATTTGAAAGTTATATTTTATTGGGGATGGAGCTGTTGTCCCTTGTTTTTTTTTGGTTGTTCTTGTTGTATTTGCTTTGTGTCTTTCTTTTTATTTGTACCACTGAAGAGGCATGTGCATTACATGTGTATCAAAAAACTGAAAAAAAAAATTGATTGGGTTTATTACATCTTTTAAAAGGTGGCAGTAGCACTAATATGAGGCCACTTGCAAGTTTGCACATTATATAGTAAAGGTGTATACATTTGTACACTCCTTTTCTAGTCTAATAGTTCTGACAAAAATAAGTTAAGAGACCTCTTGGTGTTAGTAATGTTTCACTACATCGTGAATAGTGAAAGTTATTTTTTTTTCTTTGAAACTCGAAAGGCATTGGCTCATATGCTGGGAATGTGCTTTAGACGTTTTGTTTTAGGTCTTACTGGGTCCTGAAAATAGTACACTGAAATAGATATGCATCAACCTTGTTTATTGCGCCAAATCCATTTGTCAATCTGCTTGAATCTTTTTCTTTTCTTTTTTTTGGGTAATTGTTTATCTTCAACCTGAATTGTCAATCATAGTTGTCAAGGTGACGCCTAGGCGGGCGCCTAGACGACAAGGCGCCCTTGGAGGCTCACCTCGCCCAGTCGCCAAGCAGTTTTGTGCAATTGGTTATAAAATACTTTTATATTTTTAATTTTTTGACATTATAATTATAAAATAGACATTATTAAACTAGAATATTCATTTTATGTGTTTATATACTAATTTCTTTTTATTATTTTCTTATTTTGTTAGGGTTTAACCAACACAAGCATTGCTAACTGCTGTATTGAACCCATGGTTCAAAGTATCGATACACCTCTGTGTATTGGCAGAGGTGAATCGGTGCTTATAACGATACTCCTATTTTTTTTATTTCTTTGGTTTTCAATTTCATTTTTAAATATATATATATATTATTCAAAAATGGGTCCCTGAAAACACCTGTAAACAAGTATCAGGACCCCAAAGATACAATACAATACACCCGATACAGGTTGTATCGTATCAAAAGTTTGATCCTTGATTGAACCCTCAAAAATTTCAAAACCTGAACCAATCAACACATTTTTCTTCTTCCACCTTTTCTTTTCTTCTTGCCTATAACAAAAGTAGGGGTTCAGCCCCTATATTTTTTGAATCCTCTTTCCTTTCTTCTTTTTCTTCTCATAAAATGTTGATTTTCTAGGCTTAAACATGAAATTTATACTTCTCTTATGAAAATTATGAATAATAATTAAGGAAAGATGGTTATGGAACCTAGGGAACTACCGTAGGATATATGGTTTTACTTAAAAAAAATCCATCACCTAGGCGCCTGCCTAGGTGACAAGGTGCCCCCCTGTCGCCTAGCCTTGCCTTGGTGCCTTGAAAACTATGTTGTCAATATTGACCTGTAAAACATGTATGATCATTAACCTGGATATTTTTTTGCACTTCTATCATGGTTTTATTTTATCTGCCCCATTTGTTGTTTGGCATGAGAAAATGATTTTCTTTTCAATGCAAGTATAATGCAACAACCATGAAATATTTTTATTTGTACTTCTTGCATACTGTCGGCCTCTACTTTTCTTGCACCGTGTAAACCAGTGGTGGAATTATATTGTTATATTGGTGCTGTATAATGATTTTTTTTATAAGAAGTAAAGTATCAATTCATTCAAAAGAAAAGTACAACCAGAGGCTGTACAAAGGAGATACAAGAATAGATTCAAACCACAAAGCCATTGGGAGATACGAACAGACTTTCAAAATTAAACAGAGAGCTACAAAAAGAACTGTCTACTTTATACTTAGTCGATGACCAAGAACAGAGGTTTGGTGCTGTATAATGTTTTTTAATACTTTGCTTGTTATCGAACTTTTTTGAGGCTAATAATGTCGTTTCAGAATCTTCAGGAAGAAAAACAATCCTCTTATGTTCAATACTCTGTGCATAGAACTCTTCCTCATTTGTGGCGTTTAGTGACAGACCCTTACATCTCATCAAAGGCTTTCTGTTAGTTACAGTATTGCATTGAAATAGATTATGTAGTTTTGTTACACATTTGTTCAGAAAGTCTGATTTGGATGCCTGGATATGCATTATCTTTCCAGTTTCCAGTAGTTTGGTTTTTATTGTAATGGAATTTGTTAATTGTTTTCAATTTTGACTGTTTTGACTTTTGTGCAGAGAAATTTTGTTGAAAGCATGGCCGGATATTCCATATTGTGCTACCTTCTACAGGTACAGTATTCTTTTTTCTGTGCTCATCTCCGCTCCCTCTCCCTCGTACTTGCATGCTATGCATGCACACACAATGACATATTCTGTGTGAAGGATTCCTATTATCTGGTGTGGACTCACAAAATATGTTATTAGTGTATGTAGTTGTCTTTTCTTGCCCTTATGAGTGGTCAAAGTGGAGTTTTTTGTTGTTGGTCGGGAGTTTGGGATGGATTTTATCATTTTCACCCTTTGTGGTGATCCTTAGCACCTATTTTTGTACATTAATAATATAATAAAAATTTTATTTGTACTATCCAAAACATGTAGTAGGGAACATCGTCCCAACACAAGTATCATATCAAGATTTCTGCAGCATCAATCTTATTCCAAGCTATATGCACTGCCGCACTGGTGGTCAACATTGAAGAAGAAACACCACAAGCCTCCCCAATAGTTTCAGATGTGGTGCAGCATCAAATGTGCATAGGAAATCCTATACCTAAAATCCGACACTTGTACCTCTAATTCTCTATTGGTTCCAGGCCCAAACACCCAATAATAAAATTCTACCACAAAAGCTCCTTTCTCTTGATTTCAGCACTTGATTGGCATCAGCTTCCAACTGGAAGAGGAAGACAGAGGAATAGACTACTAATACAAGGAATATCTCTGAACTGCTTTCATACCAGATAGTAAGAATCATTACAATCAAAATAGATAACAAGGAATATCTCATACCACTACCCATATCCACACACCATCCACTAAAAACCACTCTCAATTGTCACTAAAAAGTGTCTTCAATGTAGTGTCACTCAAATATCCATATCCACACACCATCCCCTTTCTTCATAGCAACCCTCTCTCTGTCTTTCACTTTCCCGTTCACAACTGCTGTAACATCCCACTCCAATCTCAGTTATCCTCTATACTATTCTATTTTCTAAGTTCTAATGTCTTCCTTTCTCTTACCTCTCCTGGAAATGCTTCTGGTCTTCTCTTATCTTACCTAACAAAAGTCCAATTTCTTAGTTAACTCCATTCAATCTATAACCATCCTTGCTAACCTATGAAGAACATACCTATCTTTCACCCTCATGAGTGTTGCTTCCTTCCTCGTTTATACCGTCATGCCTATTTTTGAAACATGCACTATTTTCTGTTTTTTCTTTTGGAATTTTTAAATCCGTTATTTTAGAAGGTATGGGTGGTGTACGCTTAGAGTCACGCCTCCTAGCGAGGAGCCCCTAAAATGCCCCAAGGCATTTGCTAGAGGCATTGACATCTCTGACTCTGAGGCGTACACCTCAATGAGGCATGCTAGAGGTGTATGCCTCATGCAGACCTCATATAAAAAGACAAAAAAGGAAAGGGAAGGGAAAGATAAAGAAAAGAAAAGAAAAGACCCCCCCTCCCCCCCTTCAACTACTGATATGCATCTTCATTGTTCTTAATATAAAAGATTTTTATTAAAAATAAAGAAAAATGAGATCCCCATTCCTTTTCTTCTCCATTTCCTACTCCCTCCTCATCCCCCTCCTCTTAAGGAGGCTTATGCCTTTTACGTTCTGAACTATGCCTCACGCCTTTAGGTAGTGGAATGCCTCATGTTATGCCTCTGCGTTTTAAAACATTTAGAAGCTATGACATTCTGCTCTCTCAATGAAGTATCTTCCCTAAACAAGGCCAACACACTTGAAACCAGGATTGTTAGGTGCCAAACCAGCTGAAACACCTATGGAACCAAATACCAAGTTGAGTAGTGATGCAGGTGAGGAGTTTGAAGATCCTGGAAGGTACAGGAGGTTGGTGGATAAGTTAAACTACCTAACCATTACTCGGCCAGATAATTTCATTCGCAATTAGTGTGGTTAGTTAGTTTATGCAGAATCCTCGGGTTCCACATTGGGATGTAGTTCTAAGGATTGTACATTATTTGAAGGGAGCTCCTGGTTGTGGCTTGTTATACAAGAGTGGAGGAAAACTTGAAATAGAGGGATACTTTGGTGCTAATTGGGTGGATTCTGTATCTGACAAAAGGTCCACTACAAGTTATTGTACCTTTCTTGGGGGTAATTTGATGACATGGAAGAGTAAGAAGCAAACAATGGTGGCAAGCAGCAGTGCAGAAGCTGAATGTAGAGTCATGACACATACAACTTGTGAACTAGTGTGGTTGAGGAACCTTCTACATGAGATGGGGTACTCGATTGATATTCCTATGAAGCTTTATTGTGACAACCAAGCTGCAGTCCACATCTCTTTTAATCCAGTTTTTCATGAGAGAACAAAATATATAGATGTTGATTTTCTCTTTGTGAGAGAGAATGTACTTAGTGGAGTGATAAGTATGCTCATGTTCACATAGGAAGTCAATGGGCAGACTTGTTCACCAAAGGGTTGAGTTGGGGAAGAGCGGACTACATATGTAACAAGCTGGCACTATATGACATACTCACCAGCTTGAGGGGGAGTGTTAGTGTCGACTGTATAGTGGCAATTTGGTCTTCTCATTTATGTTTGGTGTGAGGTGTAATGTTTATGTTGAGTGATGTGTCCCATACTTAAGTAGGGGCATAACAGTCATTCTGTTTATTATAGAAAACTATAAATATAAAATTATAAATCTGGCCGACTAGAGAGTGATTTTTCTCTCAATTGCGAATTGGCCTTTTCTCCTTCTTCTCTTCTTCCCTCTTCTCTCTTCCATCTTTCTTCTCTATTATTAACAAACTAATTCTGGTTCAGATCTGAGTTTTATCAATGGCAATCAATGGATCCCCACTATTAATGTTTTGAAATCTTAAGGAATTTTAATTGTCAATCATTGTTGCCTTTGTGGTTCAGCTGAGGAAAACCTTCGGCATCTGCTGATCCAATGCATGTTTTGCCTGTTCAATTTGGCATCATATGCTTAAGCTATTTGGTATCAGTGGGTGGAACCTCATAGCATCAGTTGTTTGGTATCTACTTGGAGGGTAGCTGGTTTTTGCTAGTTGGGGAAATTTGCTTTGGAGGAGGATGGTTCCTTTGGCAGTGTGCTGGTATGTGTGGAGGGATAGGAATTGTAGAACCTTTGAAAGGCTGATGGTCAGATGGGCCCCTGTATGTAGTCTTTTTTTCTGGGTTTAAATATAGACTTTTTATGATCATTAGGGGAAATTGTATGGGATGATGGCTTTGCTCTGTGAGGTTTGCTTGTCTGGTTATGTTTCTGCTGTATCTCTTTGGGGTGGAAGTCTCTCCCCCATGTTTCTGGTTTTTCTCTTTGATAAAATTTACCTTTCTAAAAAATTTGTGGATGAAGTTTGGTGGTTTCAACTAATAAAAAAAAAAAAAGTTTGGTGGTTTCAAATTGAGTCTCCTGATGCTTCTTCCATCCAGTCTTATGGATTGATTTATTGATCCTGTTTTCTCATAACTCTGTTTATGGTTGTCCAGGTGAAGGATCGGCACAATGGAAATCTCTTGATGGATGAAGAAGGCCATATTATACATATTGATTTTGGGTTTATGCTTTCCAATTCACCAGGGGGTGTAAATTTTGAGAGTGCACCATTTAAGTTAACTAGAGAACTTCTTGAGGTTATATGTTTAACAAATTCAGAGCTTACATTCTTTCCACTTGTGTACACAATAAATAATCAACATATCTTTAGTTTTTGATCGTTAACTGATTAGAATATTGTGGTCATGCTAGGTCATGGATTCTGATGCTGAAGGGGTTCCAAGCGAGTTCTTTGACTATTTTAAAGTATTTGAAAGCTCTTATTGCTTGTTTTTGCATGATTTATCTGCACATGTCAAACTTCACGATCTTTTAGTTATGCATTTTGCTATGCCTGCAGGTATTATGCATACAAGGTTTCCTAACATGTCGTAAGCATGCAGAACGCATCATACTTCTGGTTGAAATGTTGCAGGTATTACAATTAACATTTTGCTTGTAATTAGATATGTAGTAATTGCACATGACTGTTTTTCTCAATACATCTTGATAAGCAAACCAAATTCGATTTCTTCTCAGCAGGCTTTGGGGTATGTTAACTTGGATTTGAAAGATATGTAGGTATTCTTTTAAATTGGAGTGAAAGAATAGAAAAAAGATGAAGATTTAGAAAGGGGAAAGAGAACAAAAGGTTTGAAAATTGCCCAAGTATTTGAACAGCAGCCCCTTTTTCTATTTGTGTGCTGTTAAATTACAAGTGAAAATGACAGAAATTCCCCATGCTAACAGAATGTAAGAAAAAACAATAAAATAAAATAAATAATTGATATAAACAGAAACAAATAGCACAACATAATCTGGTGATGATCTCGACACTTTAGAGCTTTTGAGGCATGTAGATTGGATGCCAAAGATGTATTGACACACTTTTATGTTTCCACCTGTGACTTTTGCAAAGAATTTTTCTTGGCTTTGAATCCAATCCATATGGCATTTACTACAAATATAATATTACCAAATCCATATGGCATTTACTACAAATATAATATTACCAACACTCTGATGTCTGTTCTACCACTATAAAGCTTTTCTTTTTACACCTACCAGCAGGTGGCAAAGAAATTTATTAACCATTGCTCCACTTGCATGTGCAAGTGCACAATGGTCTTGAATCCATACTTTTCTGAAGTGGACAAGTCAGATTTTAATTCAAGATTTAGGGATACTATTGAGTGGTGCAATGATGTAGTTTCTTAAATTTTCATTTTATTGTTTTTTCTTATGTAGTGGGGGGTTCCAGCTCATCACCCTAGTTGACATTGACCTTTTCAATTATAATGAAATTTCTTTTATTTACTTTTAGAAATATTGTATCACTTACATATGCGGTTTAGGAAGATGAAGAATGCCGTTCAAGGTCCCAAAGGAATTTCATTAGTCAATCTGGTTTAAATGATCAAACCGCAATCAGTTGATTTGGTTTACCCTCCCTGTGTAGCTTGTCCAGTGCAAGGAAACAAGGTGGCTGAGCAAATTTTATTTTGGCATCGTTCTCTTTAATAAGTTCACTTGCACCTCTGATTTCAACCTTATTGTTGTCATCCAATAACAGTTCTTGATCTATTTATAATAAAAGTTGTCAGAATTTTAGTCTGATAGAGATACCTAGCGTTAAATTAATTGTTAATAGCTCTATGCCAAAGAATAGGGTGCAGAGCTCATTAAGATGGATGTTGAGATTGGCTTAATTTTATGGGTGATAGCTTGGTCAGGAGTAGTTGTTCTACGGTTCCAAGATGTCAAGATGGCACATTTCTATGTACTGTTTCATGTCTTGTTCTGCCCCCATGTTGGTTAGGTATTTGGTGTCCAGTCGGTCACTCTTTGCCTATGATATCCATACACACTGGTGCTGTATCATGTAATATACATCAATTTTTAGTTTAAATTCCGTATCCAATACTGTGAAGGACTTTTAAGTTGATTGTGCCTACTGATGGAGTTAGTGCATCAGATTAAGCAATCGTTTCTCAGTTGATTTTTATGTATAGGATTAAAATATCTGGTTCGTATGTAAGCTTATGGTGCTGTTCCAAATGTGGACACAGGATTCTGGTTTTCCATGCTTTAAAGGTGGTCCTCGGACAATACAGAACCTTAGAAAAAGATTTCATTTGAGTTTAACTGAAGAGGTATATTTCTTTTCCTTGTTAATATTTTGTCTTTTGAGACTGTTTTCAGGTCTCCGCGTTCCCCTTATTGTTTTTTAACTTCTTACCATATACACTTTTTTTGTTCCTCGCCATCTCCTATTATGTGTATTTTACTGTAGTCTTACAAGAGTGCTGAATTATCTGAAACAGCAATGCGTGTCATTGGTGCTTTCCCTGATAAGTAGCAGCTTAGATGCATGGCGGACACGTCAGTACGATTATTATCAGCGGGTCTTAAATGGGATATTGTGAGGTTACAACTGATTCTTGATTCCTTGGCATGAGGCTCTTGTTGAGGTGGGTGGGTCCAGTGAAAGATCTATTGCAAACAAAAGAGAAATTGCCTACATTATACGGCTGGCAAACTTGAGCAGTTGGTGCACTGTTTCTGAGCTGTCTTCAAAGTTTTTGGTTGAAGTTGATTGTACGAGTTTGTGGTATATTCATTCTTGGATTGAGAAAAGTTAAATTGTATCGGCAGATGCTAGGAAGCTACCCAGCTGAAGTTTATAGCAGGGTTGTCTTTCTTATTTTGTTGGGTGTAAAGTCAAGATGGTTGTGTTGGCTTCTGAGACTTGAAGAGACATGCAAACCTACTACTCACCTTTGTTTGCCGACTGTACAGAAGGTGATACGGTGGATTTCGTGGACCCCCAGAAAACAATTGACTTCAAGATATGAAGTTTAATCCATGGTGCCGCTTGAGCATCTCAGGCACAAGAGAAATTTGTTGTTCATGTGTTAACAAGATTGTATTGCAAATTGAGTTAAAAGCTGGTGGAAGGATCAGAAATAGTGGTCCTTGCAATGTTTGTACATCTTGCCCCTTCGAAGTGGATTGATTCTGTCGCTGAACCTGAACGTGGAGATTCTCTACAGATTGGAGAAGTCAGCTGCTGTTGCTTCCAATCGAGGCTTATCAATGGCATATACCTAGGCATAATACTTAGTGTCCATAGGAATTTGTTTATGTTGAATTGAAACGCTTGAATGTGGGCCTTAGGTGCATGGTGTATAATATTTTTTGGTCTTCTATTGATCTCTGTTTCTTGTAAAATGCAATTTGTTGATTGTCTATTCATCATATACGAGTGCTAATATAAAAGATTGGTGGGATTGCGTTCCACTATCACTTGTTGAATCTCTTTCAAAGTGAAGGGTGTACGTGTAGTTGTAGTTCCACACTTCCACTTATTGTTTTGCATGCATATAGCATTCCAAAATACAGCATATAACACTGATTGGTAGTGATGGATGAACAAAGAAAATAAAAAAGAAGTCCAGACCAGCTCCTCACACCAATTTAACAGCACATTGGGAACATCTACTATACTTATTTTATCATTCATGACGAGATGTGTCTAATCCACACGTGCAATGTATATGAGGTTGGTGTGAGAACACTGCAAAGCACATCTACATAAAAAACAATGAAAATCCAAAAAGAAAAGAGGCATTTTTTTCAATGAACAAAATCAACGTAAAGCTTTCAAAATCTTGCTACTAGCCAACATTTTGTCACGAGTCATGGAGTTATTGTAGCGGGCAATTGTTCCTTAGATCACAAAGTATGTCTCTTCTTCAATAATAATGAATCTGCATAATACATATCATAACTGTGTAGGATGGGCAACTTGAAACACATCTTCCTCTCCTTTGTGGGTATCTCAAATTCTCCACAAAGAATGAGAGAAATCCAAGTAGTGTCACTTTTTGTTACATTTAAAATTCAGTTTCTATTATTTTATAATCTTATAGGGTGTTCTACAATGTGAATTGTTTTCTTGTTGATTCTTAAAACAAACTAAAACCCTTTGGTTTGGAAACAGATCGTGTATATGTTTTTTGTTTTCAAAACTGAAACAAAAAACTTTGTTATTGAATTTCTGGTTTCAAAGGGAAAATCTATGATGTGGAAAAGATATGGTATGGAAAGAGTTTTGACCAATCAAAATCCACCTATGAATTATAACACTTTATTCATTATCATGTTTATGATTCGATTTTGTTAATAAGTTGTTTTTCGGATATCATATATTTTCCATAGCATAGTCGAACCCGGTTTCAAAACAAATTTCATCTGGCTATTTAATAGTTGCTTGGAATCAATGCCATTTCTTTGAAAAATGATGCTACATCTGAAATCCATTTTTTCAGATAATGCCCAATGTCTGGTTATACATATTTTTTTAAATACATTTTCTTAGACCATGCCTTGAAAATCAAGAAAGGTGTGGTTTAAGTGTACTTTCTCATTTTTTCAACATTATGATGACATATCATTGAAAAATGCCTATGTGGCAACAACAACAATAGTACCAAATAGAAAACAAGAAAAGACACCTTAATATCATGTTACATGTTAGGGCACATGCTACTACTACTACTAATAAAAGAGAGAATAGCCCCATTTTTTGGACTTTTCATTAGATATTTTTATTCCTTATCTAAGCAACATATAACAGGCATAAAAAAGGGCATATATGTCTTTTAATCTTACTCAAAAAACTGCCTACTTATAATTGTTCAAAAACTGTTCACTTATAACAATTAAAAAACTGTCCATAAATTGTAAATAATCGTGCAACATGTTTAATAGTATATATATATAAAGACATTTTAATCAAAATTAACTTTTATACCCTTTAAAACAAAATTAGGGTAAATTAATAAATTTATGCAAGCAAGCACAGACGATGAATCCGATGGCAGGCGCAACCGCCCAGCCCGCCCCAGTTCTATATTATCACGTCCAGCCGTCCAGGTGGCAGTCGCAACCGATGAATCCGATGATCATCCGTCCTGTCCTGTTACTCCTGTACCCCTGCGACCTTCTGAGCTCTACAGTACAACGAGACAATTGAAACCGAAAAGTAAATAATTAGATTCTGAAGGCTGTAATAGTAATTATGTACATTCATATTTACTGAAATGCCCACGCCAGTGCATTTCACTTCCTTGCTTGGCTGTCCCTTAGACCCTAGGGATTTTTCCTGCGAACCACCCTTCCCTTTTCTCGGTACTAGTTGGTAGTGACGAAGCTGCTTTGACTTCCCAGGGCAGAGGCGCGAAGGTGCCAATGGCAGGCGACGCGCCGCTCGTTCAACAGATGGCCTCCACAACCCTAGCCGACGACGGTGATTCCTCACCAATCTGGGCCAAGTTCTCCTGCCGCGTTCTGATCCGCAACATCATCTGCCGCCCCGACGGCGGCGTCGGCCTTGCCGGACAGAAGGTCGCCGTTGGTGGATGGGTCAAGACTGGGCGCGAGCAAGGAAAGGGCTCCTTTGCGTTCCTCGAACTCAACGATGGCTCTTGCCCCGCCAACCTGCAAGTCATTGTCGAGGCCTCCGTTGCACCTCTCAGCCAACTTGTTCACACCGGTACTTGCGTTTACGTTGAAGGGGAGCTCAAGAAACCTCCTGAAGGGACCAAGCAAAATGTCGAGTTGAAGGTCGAGAAGGTCATCGATGTCGGCCCCGTCGACCCCGCTAAATACCCATTGCCCAAGACCAGGCTCACTCTCGAGTTCCTGAGGGACTTTGTGCATCTTCGACCAAGAACCAACACGGTATTCCTCCTCTCTTCCCTCTTCCCATCTCCACTCTCTTTAGCGAATTAGAAAAATTAAGTAGTTGCGTTGCCTATCTCAGAGTAACAGGAAAACGGAAGAACCCATCAACAGAAATACAAAATCCATCAAACCCACACAAAAATGCCAATTAAGAAATGCAGGAAATTAAGCAAACTCAGAAGCTCAGTCTGCATCAATAGCACAGTGAGAATAGAATTGGAGAGGCCAAGTCTCATGCTTTTATAGAAGAAAAGAAAACTTTAATTACTTTATTACAATTGATATGTTTTCTTCCTTGTCCAAAGCTTTGGTGACGACTAAAGGGAAGACCTTGCTTCTAGTTCCTTGCATTCCTTGGCTAATTCTGTAATTAAATTATAACATTTGAGTTCTGTACTTTTTTTGTTTCAGATATCTGCGGTTGCTCGAATCAGGAATGCGTTGGCATATGCCACCCATACCTTCTTTCAGAAGCATGGTTTCCTCTACGTGCATACTCCTATCATTACAACTAGCGATTGTGAAGGTGCAGGTGAAATGTTTCAGGTTACAACATTGCTTAATGATGCGGAAAAGCTGGAGAAAGAACTGCAGAAGAACCCACCACCCTCGGAAGCCGAACTAGAAGCTGCCAGATTTTTTGTCAAGGAGAAAGGAGAAAATGTTGCACGATTGAAGTCGGCTAAGGCAAGCAAGGAGGATATATCTGCTGCCGTTGCTGAACTTACAAAAGCCAAGGAAAGTTTTACAAAGATGGAAGAAAGATCCAAACTTAAACCTGGACTCCCCCAAAAGGATGGGAAGATTGATTATTCCCAGGATTTTTTTGCTCGGCAAGCGTTTCTGACTGTATCTGGGCAACTCCAAGTTGAGGGCTTTGCATGCGCTCTCAGTAGTGTTTATACATTTGGACCAACTTTCCGAGCTGAACATTCTCACACATCAAGGCATCTGGCGGAGTTCTGGATGGTGGAGCCTGAGATAGCGTTTGCAGATTTGGAGGTACTTATTAACATTGTTCTTACACATTTTCCCCCTCAACCAAACAATACTCAAGAAGCTTGACTGGACCTGAGAAAGTGACCTCGGTCAAGTTTCCTTGTAGATTTGATTTGGTACGAAAATGAATCAACTTGAAGAAATTATGCATCTGGTTGTAATCCTAATTTATGTGATTTCATTCATTGATGTCAGCTGCAAGAGTTGCTGCTTGCTTTGAGTCAAAATGTTAATTCTTGAGGGGAGATCTCTTGGTTGTTGTCATAATGGTTTCATGTTATATAATTGAAGTGAAATGCTTAGTTTACTATTTTCACAGTAAAACAAAATTATTTCACAAGCATTTGGAAAAGTAAGGTAAAAAAGAAGAGAAAAGAAAAGAAAAGAAAAGAAAAGGAGGCAAATACTCATCCAAGAGCAAAGTTAAGTTAATCGTTTGGTAACTTGTTGATTCAACTCTAAACTCTTGGTTGAGTTTCCAAAAGTTATGCTACTCATATATAATGACTAAGCTTGGCTTTGTTGATTTTAAATTGTGGTAATGGTATATGCATTAAAATATTTGTTAATGTGGTCTGATCCAGTATTAATTGTTTGGTTGGGATGGTTTCCTATTCTATTTCTATTTTTCTTCATGTTTTGATGTCTTTAACTTGCAGTGGAGGGGTAATGTATAATCTTTCCTTTCTAATTGTAGTGGTTTAGTTATATGAAGTGACACATATTTATATTTCTAAAACAGCCTAAGTTTGTTTGCATTTGTAGGATGATATGAATTGTGCAGAGGCATATGTGAAATTTCTCTGTCAGTGGTTACTTGACAACTGCCTTGATGACTTGGAATTCATGGTTAAACATTTTGACAAAAGTGCCATAGATCGTCTGAAAATGGTTTCCTCAACCCCCTTTAAGCGTATTTCTTATACAGAAGCAGTGGAACTCTTGGAGAAAGTTACAGATAAGAAGTTTGAGAATAAGGTTGAATGGGGAATAGATTTAGCATCTGAGCATGAAAGGTACTTGATTATCTCATAGATGTGAGGGAGCTGTTCCTTTATTTGAACTGCATATGCTGAAATGATTATTTAATGAATCATGCAGATATTTGACTGAGGTAATATTTCAAAAGCCTGTTATTGTGTATAATTACCCAAAAGGAATTAAAGCATTTTACATGAGGCTCAACGATGATATGAAGACAGTGGCTGCAATGGATGTGCTTGTACCCAAGGTACATTAACTTTCTATTTGACCGTATAAAATTTATTGCCCTACAGAGACATCTCACATCCTTGACTGGTTACTTCTGTTACTGTAAAATATCCTAATAAGTTTTATACCATTCTTGGAATATGTATTATTAAAATATGCTAATATAGTCCAATACCTACAACTGCAAGTATGTAAAACCTAAGGATTTTTCTATTCCTTTTCCAGGTTGGAGAGCTAATTGGTGGAAGCCAAAGAGAGGAGCGCCATGAAGTCATTGAGAAAAGGTATGAAAAGATTACCATTTAATTTAGTACCTTTTTTCTGATGAATGCATTTAATTTTAATTTAGTACCTTGTGCTATGATGTTTGGTATACTTTCCATTTGCAAGAAATTGCATGCAACTAGCAGTCTAGCAGTGCAGATTAAACCCTTTCCTATGCATGAAAAGGGTTGGTTACTTGTGTCTTTTAGGCAGCCATATTTTCCAGATTCAAGATGTGGCAGTATTTTTTGGTCTTTGCATTGCAAAAACATTAGCAGTTTGCCACAGTCCATCTTGACTGCAGCTATGTTGGAAAACTTAGATTATATTCCATTTTTTCTTAATTCTAAGATTACTTAAAGCTCATTTCTCAAGATCCAGAGATTTACCCTGATGGGTATGCATTCAAAAGATATAACACTTGGACCGAGTAGAGATAATCAATTATGATGCAGTGGTACTTGATGTGCTAAAACGGGATATTCTCTAGACTCTAAAAGTTTTGGATTCATTTCAAGAATCGAGTATTGTGTTTCAGAGCTTCCCTACCCTCCTCAAACATTTGATAAAAGACTTTTTAAGTGATTGAAAGCATGTTTCTCTTCTCCCATTTCAATTGTAAAGGGATTTATTGGATCTTTGTAATACAATCATCATGTAGAGAATTTAAGATATAGAATATTTATAGGGTTTCAAGACTTCCAAGGTTAAAGGATGAAAGTTTCAAAGAATTAGGACTGGGAATATGTTGCTGAGAATAGAGTTAAGGCTTTTAGAGATTCATCTGGTTCAAGAGGAGAGAACTTTAGGACCTTCTAGAAATTCAAGCTCCACTTTTTTGTTTTTTAAATGAACAGCGCTTGTAATTTGAGATTTGAAGGCACTTGTTTGGGTTTGGGTCATGGGGCCCTAATTAAACTGAAATGTTAAAACTACCTAATTACCTATTGGTTCTACTTTTTTCGTAAGTGCATACTGCATATTCTATCATATTACTATTAAAAAGTATGGTAAGAGAAGAATGGCAATCGGCAGCAAACTTGGGTGCAAGTTTCTTTCAGATTCCTTGTGCTAGTACACTTGCTGTTTCACTAGTTCATGAAAGTATTAGCAGACAGGCTTTGGTATGGGGAGAATATCCATTGCATTAAAACCAGAATCAGGATTTTATGGGGCCTGGGCCTCTGTTAGGGGTATAGGGCAGCTACATGGCTAGCTCTGTGTTGTACATCATATAGAAAGTCCATATTTTGTTAATATTATGTCATTTCTGATACTAAATAAAATTTTCCAGTTTCTGATAAAAGAAGAATTTATACACAGAAGCATTCTAGGGGTTTTCCCATGCTTAAATTAAGGATTATTGCTATAGTATAAAATATAAAAATCCCCAGTGCTCTATGCACTTTCTTGAAATCAGGTCTGTATTCTCATTTCTTGTCAGCCTGAGATTTTAATATTACACCAAGCAATGACCCCTAGTAGTTAAAATATATTTTAGTTAACTAATTGATTAGTTAGCTGATATAAATATATGATAATTTCATTGAAAGCTCTGGAAAAGATCAAACATCAGGGGGTGAACCACTTCCTTACAACATCAGAAATAGCCCATCTGCTAGGAATGGTTGGACCATGTTTAGCACTTGATCTCCTGACCCTAGCTGCACAGTTAGCTATTTGATTTGCTTATTCTAGAAATATGTACTTAACTTTTTATGTCTCCTTGCCATCAACCCAAGAATTCATAGAAAATTCAACTTTCCTTCTTTGCCACTTTTGAGTTGCTTTCCTGCCATGTATCAACTCCTGAATCTTCTGAAAGGATTGAGCTCCCTTTGGCTGTTCATACCTCTACTGGTCAATGTTGTCAAAATCTTACGATTTACGATACAATTCACAATTCGAATCGTGAATCCCAAGAGTTTCGATTCAAATCTTATGTCTGAATTCCTTTCTGCAAAAATCTTACAATTTTTGTTTGAATCCTATGATTTGATTCATAAATCTTACGATTTATACGATTTCTACGATTCAAATAAATTCAATTAAGAATTAGTTCTCTACTTTGTTATGTTTTTGTTTATATTTAGTTTTGTCAAGGGAGATTTTCTTTTAAGCCCTCACTAGAAAATGATTTATTTGTGTTATTTAATACTAGAGATGGAGTTTATTTCCATCATATGTAGGTTAAAGAGCCATTGTATGTGGATTTGTTTGCCTTTCAAGTCAAGCTTGATCATATCATCTCAGGCTTCTATTGTATAAGTGGTAAATTCTATTATTTTAGGTACATATATGGTATATAGATTAAAAATAGGGTAAAGTCACTTTCTTATATATATTTAGCCTTTTAATATATCTATATTTAATTTTTTGACAAGTTTATAAAAAATAGAAATAATCTTATGATTTATGATATGATTCACGATTCGATTCAACTTTCTCTACGATTGCGATTTTCAAAGCATTGCTAATGGTAGCAATGGGGTGGGGTGGGGATTGCCATCTCCAAATGTGCTCCCCATATTCCATTATGCCTTGTGTGGTTAAAAGCACAGGGAAAAAAAATAGTACATTTTCATCCAACCGTTGGCAAGGAGGTAAACACTATTAGTTGGCATGGAAAAAAAGAACCTAGGTTGGCATCAAATGGTATTTCAGGGTCAATTCCTTTAGCTGGTACTGCTTTATTGAGCTTCATTCTTTGTGGATGTTTTACTGCAACTCTTTTGCAAGAAATCCCAAGTGATGAATCCATTATCTTTGAATTGATTCCTTGGGAACTACTTTGGTCATTTCAGGATACTGGAGATGGGGCTCCCACTTGAGCCATATGAATGGTACCTTGATCTAAGGCGTTATGGGACCGTCAAACACTGTGGATTTGGCCTAGGCTTTGAGCGAATGGTTCTGTTTGCCACTGGCATCGACAATATTAGAGATGTGATTCCTTTCCCCAGATATCCAGGGAGGGCAGATCTTTGACGTTCTGCTCAAGCATCTGAACGCAACAAGTTTGAACAGGTTTCCTTTACTATTTAGTATACACATTTAGAATTCTGTTATTGTTTTAATATTAATATTTAGAGTGTATCTATTGAACCCTTTATAATTCATCATTACTCTTGATTGAATGAAAGAAACTAGAAAGGTCTATGTTTAGGATATATTGGATTTATATTGTACGGTTTTTTATGTATGTTTCTCATTCTCAATAGCTACAAAAAGTATTATCTATTACTACTTTCTTAAAAGAAAAGTTATCCTAATGGCAATGTTTTAAGTAACAGAATGTTTTATGAGGTTGTTCCTCATACTTAACAAGAGAATTCTTTGGTTGGTTGTTTTTTCTACATACTTTCGCAGACTTTTCTTTGTACTTGTAGAGTTGTAGCATCCTGCATTTGACTTTTGACATCGAACATTTAAGGCACCAAAATGAAAAGATAAGAGGTTAATAGATTTGATTCTGATTGACCAGGGGAAAGTTGTTGGTCCACAAGAGAGGATAAGAGTAAAAAGAAAACAAAGGGGAAGGGAATTGAAATCATTTTTAAACGAGGAGCTCAATATACCATATCGTTACAATCTGACAGGCTTAGTCTTATTTATGCTTGGTGGGTTTACATTGAGTAGCATTGTTGTAGATATTATCAATATGTTTTTTTAGAAAAGTTATGTATCCTTTTGGTAGACCTCCAAAAGCTTAATGTACTTTGACAATGGGTGATCAACCTCCTTGGGTGCCTATCCTTGGCATTCTATAGGCCAGCATCTTTTGTGGATGACCTTAGTTAATGGCTAGCATGACTACCAAAGTTCTTCATGGGCACAGAATCGCTCATGGGGACAATGCATGGATCAACACTGTGCAATGCTTATGAAGGTGAGGCTTTGCATGTGGGCTTGGCCTTGACATGTTCCTATAACTCACAATGCGTCCCGCAAGGTTATGTGCGAGTACATCCATAAAATCCCACATGTTTTGACTTCTATGAAACCCAATGTTAATTTCTTTGTTTCAATAGGAAGTATATATCTATTTTAGCAACCATAGAATGAGCCTAATTCAGTCCCCAAGGAAAAAGGTCATCCTTTGGTGTTCCCAACCTGGGATTTTCTTATTTTTTTTCACAATTATTTTCTTAATCAAAATAATTAATATTAACCATCATTGGAAAACAGAGGCAAAAATAAAAATAAAAATTCTGGTTGTCGTACCATGAAGTTTTTATACTATTTGTGCAATAGCACAAGCTACCATATTAGCTTGTTTACATCCATACATGACAAATATGTGGTTTTCAAAAGATTTATAACCATCCAAAATATCAAAATCACATAAGAGCTCATTCCATCACTTTTATGATAACTTGGTATGTGATGTTTATTGAATAAATGTTTGTATTTTATTTGTTGGTAAAATCGAGAAATGCAATAATTACAATCGTTTACGATAACTGGGTGCCACTAGGCGCCACTTCAGCGTAACAATGAATAAATGCATGGCCGTTTGTGGAAGCTTCAAAAAATAACTTCTTCAAACGGCTGGCATGCACATAAACTTAAGTTCACTTTTTACATTTTCGATGTATGCAAAAGAGCAAGAGAGAAAATGCTAAGATGGCACCTATGTGGCACCACCAAGAAACGTTTACTGAATAAGCGCAAATGGTACCAACAACATATAAGTTAAATGATTAGTAGCATCATCATCTAAGACTTGTCCTATCTATATGGGTTATATATGGGTTCAGCTACATCCTACATGAATCATGTTTTGCATTCCATTCCATTTTATACCTTAAGTTCCGATACCCTAGCGATACCCTAGTAAGGAATTAGTCATAGCGTATTACAACAAAAGCAAAGTATTTTTCGAAGGCGAAAATCATATTTAATTCAAATTAAGAAACTTGTATGAATACAGAGAAGTAATAATAATAAGCAAGAAAGTGTAGAAATAATTCTTTAAAAAGAATAAAATAAACATGGTGGATAAAGAAGAAAAGAAAGAACTTCTGCAACCGACATAAAGTGAGACAGAATCACCAATAGAAGAAACAGTTGAGCATATCTCCAACCACCGAAAGAGAGGGATAAAGACACTTACATAACAATTTTGCACCAAAAGCAAAATTGAAATCTAATGACAACTTATGGGAACATTTTCTTTTTATGTATTACATAACACATATAGGAGTGATTCATGTGATGGGGACAGAGCAGGGTGCAAAATCATCCATGCTTTAAATGAATAGAGATGATTCCATTAAACAAGGGCATTGATGAAAATATCATATGGAGGTCTCATCAAATCTTATATATACATACTAGTAAATGTGCACGTGTTTTACATGTGGCAATTCTAGATAATAATAATAATAATAATAATAATAATAATAATAATAATAATAATAATAATAATAATAATAATAATATATCCAAAATTATCTATAAATTTTATTTTTTTGTTTCATTATTATTATTATTATTATTATTCAAACACATATTGCAAAACCCAAACCTGATTATATAAGCACATCATCCAAATATGTGATAATCGGATAAAAGTATAGAACCGTGAAGTTTTAAGCAATGTTTTTAAAAATGACTTGGAACCAGAATCGTTCTGATCACTAGTTTTTGGGTTGATAGTTTGACCATTCAGTTTAAATGGACAACCCGTTCTAACAACAAAATAAAAAAATAAAAAATAATTAGAATAAAAAACAACAAAAAAACGTTGAACAGGTTGACAATTCAACCGCTCGGGTCAACGAGTCATTGACCAATTCAATAGCTTTTGGCTAGGGACAAGGTTTGGCATAAAACGAAACTGGTTTCTTGGACAATTCTTGAGACAAACAGTTCGACTATTCGGGCCAACAACGGTTCGAAAATATTGGTTTCAAGTGTCATTTACAGGCCTACTTGCTTGGCTAAACTCTTCTTTTTTAAGTGTTTTCTCTTTTGGGTCTTTCTTTGTTTTTTCTTTTGTTCATTTATCAAAAAAACATAAGATTTAAATAGAGGGAATTGAATGAGGTGGAAAGTAGTAGTTTATTTTACCACAACTGAGTGGTGGCTTGGTTGGCATGTTAGTTGGGTAGTCCCAATAGAAGACATGGATTTAAATCCCGTTGTAACAATTAAATAAGGACTAAATTCAAAATTGAGTATTTTACTCAAAAGAAAGTTTTACAATCTTATTCATATTTTTAATAGTAGTGTAAATATAGAATTACAAATGTGTTCCATTTTCTCTACATTTTTTGTATTTTTTGTGTGTAAAAATAATTCTAATATATTACACTTACTTTTTTATTTAATATGATATTATACATGTGCCTAAATAAGGATGACAATTTTCCCCATCCCTGATGGAGACCCAAGTACCCAACTTCCCCAACCTCGGTTATATATATAGTAAATATTATTTATTAAATATATTATTATATATGATATTATTTGTATTATTTGTATATATCAAAACATATTTAAAACATTATTTATATTTATCCCAGGCAGGGATTGAGGACGAGGACGGGGAATATGATCCTCACCCTGAACCAGCCCCATTGCCATTCCTATGCCTGGATGCTTTTTTTTTTTTGCAAAATTTATGTACTTTTATATTTTATTAATTATTTATGACATTAAAGGTTAACACATTTAACCCAAAAATCAAACTATTTATTATTACTTTTTATATTTCATTTTTGGTTAGTTTTAAATTATGTATTTCATTTTCATCATTAATAAAAATAATTCTTTTTATTACACTTATTTTTTTTTAATTTGATTAATAAAAATATCACAAATGTGTCTAATTTTATAAAATTTTATTACCTAACTATGAATTCGTAGATTGATTAATTTGATTCAGATAGTTGAATTGCTTAGTCATCACTTTGATAAAAAATGGTTTTGTTATTGAGTTAGTTTTAAAATATATTAGAAATATTGATATAGATCTAATTAGTATCATTTATTAATAAAGAAATAGTTTAAAAATATAGGATTAATAAGATAAAATTGGATTTATTACCTTAAGTATAAGACATAATGAAAGGGGATTAAATGAGGTATGAAGTAATAACCGAAGTTACACTTTCAACCCTTACAATTTAGAGATGGATTAAATACACAAATATAGACATTTTAGTATCCATTAAAGTTAGCATTAAAACTATAATAAAATAACTTTTATACCCTTTCTTAAACAAAGAAGTAGAGGGTAATTTTAGTCCAAAAAAGTTTTACATTACATTCACACTTTTATATATAGTATAACTATCATTTTCCTCAACTCTCTATCTCTCTCTTGTTTTCTATCAAAACAAATATGCCAATACTTTTATTTTGGTGTAGGTTATGGAAATTAATTGGAGTATCATATCATATAAGGGTAACACTTATATTTTTAATTGCATACATGCATGACTAGTATTCTACACCAGTAATCTAATAGTGCAAATCTGATTGTAGAGGTCACCCCTTTACAATAGTGACCTTGTCAGTTCAATTTAGGCATCACAATCAATGAAAGATATAGGTAGAAACATTGAATACTTACTAACATTTTATTAGCTTAGCTTGTGGTACATGTTGGACTAGTTAAAATGTTACTACAAATCTATACTACTATAAAATGTACGAATGTTTTCATAGATTTTATGAAATTTTGGTTGGACAAAAATTATCCTTTTATTTAACATTTTCTATGGTCTAAATAAGGATAAAACAGATATTCTACAACATGTAGATACTGAAATTTGTGGTTATAATTGCCCAACACCTATTTAGTGGTAATCAAAAGTTCCCAAAGTATATTTAATTCTTCACTCCACTTTTGCGTTTGGTGATTGCTTATTTCTATTTCATGTATTTGTCTTGAATTGTCATCAGGCCCATGTGTTCCCAATTGGCTCTTGTGCTGAATTAATATTTTTTTATTAAATGGGTAGTGCTAAAGTATTGATCAATGTCCATTAATGCCTAATAATAACATTTTAATTACGATTTGATTGGTCTTCCACCTCGCCAAAGGGCCAAAAAGATAAAAGCGGTCGTGCCAAATTAATTGGGAAATGACATGCTTGTAGGTTTGCAACATTTTTACAATAAATAGTTTCTTTCTATATAGGATACATTGCAATGACCCATTTCATTGCTTATTTGCTTTTATTAACCTGCAGCATTTTAACTAATCGT